TTTGTGATTATTTTCCAAAGTTTAAATATTGCATAAACATGAAAAATTCACATATAGGCATGAGACTTTTAAGTATTTCACATGAAAACATTGTATTCCTAATTGAAAAACCATGTCACATGTGTGGTATTTCGACATTTCTTTAAAATGTGTGAATGACAGTGATGCCACCAACATGCATGGACAATGGACAGAAAGAAACAAGCAATTTTGGACTGCGTTATTTTTTTATTCATTTATTTTTCAAGAAAAAATTAGCTGAAAAAAAAAAACAATCACAACAACTTTGCACAGATTTGTTTACATCTGTCTCCCACTTAAGGAAGAAGTCATTTCAACAGCTAGTATTTCTCATTTGGTACGTTTTGGGAAGAATAAAAAAGAAAACCCGTTCCCTGTCTGAAAACAGTTTGGCAGAAAGAAAGAAATAGGCAAGAAATCAGTTGTCAATAGCTGCCAATTTCGCCTCAGAAACATCAAAAAATACAACACTCGCGCAGGACTTTGTGTTCATTTACTATAAAAGATGTTTTTCACAGGCAGTGCTGCAGTTATTTCACACACAGCAGGGGCGTCGAACAAAAAAACCCAGAGATCAGTGGGTTTTTTTTTTTTTTTTTTGAATGATGTCACATGACCCGAGAAAAAAAAAAAATGCCACGTTTGTCTTCGTCAGCATGTGTGTGTATTTTGGTCATGAAAAGTGGCCATCAGTCACCATCAGCACCCTGAGGTTACAGCATGGTGACCAAGGACCAGCTGTTTCCTCCCTTTTTCCTGCTGTCTGTCCTTCCTCCGGTAATTTCTCTCCCTCTCGTTCTGCCTCTCTGGTGCTTTTCTCCATCTCCTCCTGTGAATGTGTGTGCGCTCTCTCATGCACATTTGGGATCCACACACACAACATGACCAGGAGGCTGTTTGAGATGAGCATTGAGTCACAACGCTGCCATCTGATGGCCAACAGAGGGAATTACAACCTCTCTTTTCCCCCGCAATTAAACCAAATTAAACCAGTCTGACTTTTTGCCATAGTTAGTGTAATGAAAAGAATTTATGCTGAACACAAAAATAGAGATTGCTTTGAGATTATAGAGCAGCTGAATTGTCATGAAAGTTTTCAATCTATTCATTTTTTTTTTTGTCTTGTCATGTCATATTTTTATTTATTTGTGTAGTGATGTTCTCATTTACTGGTTTTCTGATTGTTGCTACTCATACAAGCCATTTATTTGTTCATTCGCACCTTTTCTTCGAGCTAATGAAACTGGCTGCTCATGATACATTCACTGCATTTTTGATATATATAATAGTAGCATAGTATGCTTAAATATAATATTTTCATGGCACAAAAACAGAAAAAGATTAATAAACCATCTTATTTTGAGCCAAAATTGGCTCCTAGTATGATGTCGCAGAAAGACTGGAAGCAGTTTGTTCTTTTCTGTTCTTAGAAATATTAAAGTGTTCTGTTAATGCGTATCTGCTGAATCCCCTCAGTGTTATTTTCACCTATCATCTAATGGGGATAAAGAGAAATGTGTCCGTATTAAAACACCACAGATTATTACTATAAGCCTCAAGAGCAGCTTGATGTTCCGTCCTTCATCGGCTTTGGATTCCTGGAAGCATCTTAGCTCATAGATTTGTTCCATCATTTATGTCCTACAACTCTCCCGCCTGCCTCCTTGAGGACCCTCCTGCTACGATTACTCCTGTTTTGCAGTTGCCACACCAAGCGATCTGACGGACAAATATGTCTGTAACTAATTTTGCCTTCAACGTCAGCGTCCTACATCTTCGCAAACCTTATGGGGACAAATGAAGTGTCTTTAATATGTGAAAAAGAAACAATCGCTGCCTCCCCATGTTGTATCTCAGCGTCCTCGACATGCAAGTTGCCTTTTGAAGGAGGAGCACAGCCGTTCTGCAGAGCCTTGGAGCCTCTGCGGCACCCCGAAGCAGAAGCCTAAATCTGGCTTAACACATTTTAACTTAATGTGGGCTTTTTCTATATTTATTTGATGACTTAGCACAGTGTTTTATATAGAGATACCCCTGATATGTTGTGGGAGAAACAAGGTGATTTTTTTAAAGGGAGGCATCTTTGCGGTGTGTCTCACTGCTGTAGGATTTTGCAGGTCAGCTGCAGTGGTTGGTTCGTCAACAGGGGAGGAACTGACACACTCCTAATGAGGCTTCACTGTATGTGTGAGTGTGTTTGTTTGCGTGCATGCAGCAGGATTTGTATTTTAGTGTATTGTGTTCATGTGTCTCTGATACTGTTACGAAGTGCATGTCCGTGTGTGCATTTGTGTGCGACTCTGTCCTTGTTTATCTCTTCACCGCAGCACGGCCCGTTGTTGGGGTTTTCTCAGCCTATTTACAGTACAACCAGGACACGCTATCATTAGCTATTCCAGCTACACAGCGTGCACACACACACACAAGCACACAGGGGGAAAAAAAAAAGAAGCGCACAAATACAAAGAGACTAAAGGCCCGCTCAGACGAGATTAGTATGACAAGGTAACAAGGGAAATGCAACATTAGCCTTGCACCTCCTGGTTTTCCAGTTATTTGTAGTTTGTAGCTTGGTTAAACATTTATGAGGGATAAAAAAAACAAACAGAATCTCCTAATCTCCCATTTTTTTCCCCTCTTCAGCTGCTATGCCTTGCTATTCAAATATGTACGGTTACTGTGCACATTTGCAATCTGTCTCAATCTACACCGATCCACCAGGAGTGTAGCACAGTTTGCTGAGTGCAACTTTGTGTACATGCTTACCTGTTGCTTGTTTCTAAGACTATGTACCCACTGTTGTTATACTACTAAACATTAATCAACTTAACTGAGCAAACAATCAAATGTTAGACTGACTTTATAAAGAAGTCATGATGTGGCAACTCATTTATTTGCAAAAAGTACTGGTGTTTCATTTAAAAAAAACAACAAAAAACTTTAGATGGTTTCAGGGTGATGTCGTGGACAGACAGTGCTGTTTGGCGACTGGAAATCAGAAGTTTTCGCAAAAGGTGTCCCACAAGGCTCAATCCCGGGGCCGATGCTCTTCCCATTTAATACAGATGACATTGTCTCCTCCGTATCTGGTTGTAATGTCACATTATATGCCGATGACACAGTTTTGTACGGTAATGTAGTTACTGTACATTTAGCTGTCAAAACTCTTCAACTCTTCAAGCCTGAGTTACAGGTTGTCCAGTACAGTATGCATAAACTTTTTCTTAACGCAGATAGGACTAAATTCCCGATCTTCACCAGAGCTAAACATACTTAATGAGACAATCTTGTACAGTCTACAAGTGGCACAATTATCTGGGAATTTGAATAGAGAAACAGGCTTTTAAATTTACAACATGTTACCATGGTGATGGCGACACGCATAGACGCAGCGGCCACTTCAGGAGAAAGTGAAAATGAACGTTTTGAGTGTCTTGTCTATCCCAGACATTCATTCCGCAAAACTTGTGGCTGGGAGACTTTGCTGAACATCAGGACAGTGAATGGCGCTGGAATTGTGGCGCTCGGTTGTGATTTGGACATACTACACCAACACGTAGTCCAATCGGAGACTACGCAGCTACCCGAGAGAGAAGGAAGCTCTAACAGTACGAATGTAAACAAAGGAGGAGGAAGAGAGCCGGGATTCATGCTAAAGGCTAACCCCTCCAGACCAGCAGGACAGTCGCTCCTACTCTCCAATGTCCGCCCCCTCGACAACAAGCTGGACGAGATACGTTTGCTGAGAGAGACCCGCAGAGAGTGGAAAGACTACTCTGTGTTTGCTTTTACAGAAACATGGCCCAATGACAACATCCTAGATGGACATACAGCTGGAGGGGACGACATTATTCCGAACGAACAGACAGACAGCTAGCTCTGGCCAGCATCTGCAGCTTCACCATTGTCACACCATCGTGTGTGTCTTTGTATCTCTGAAAACCTACCAGGACCTGAAGAGGTTCGCCATGTTCAACGAATGGCGGTGCATATGGACGCAGCAGCCCCTTCAGGAGACAACGACAGCAAACATTTAGTGTCTTCTCCCAGACGTGCATTCTGCAAAACTTTTGTTTGAATAATCCTGAAGAAACGCCTTTTCATCTTGCCTGTACTACTGAGTATGTACAGCAAAATGACAGTAAACCTGATTTGATTTGAACTATCATGTGACCAAAGCAGTGACAGAGTTACTGGTTTCTTTTATATGAATATATCATGTTTCTTACTGCATTGTAGGAAAAGGCTTATTGAAGCAGTCGAGGGTAATGGTGATATTTTATACATGCATGCATCAGCTTTGACTCTTAAGCCCTTGGATACTGTATATCACCCTGCATTACTGGTGATAGTTATGACATTCACTGCTGTGAGCTGTATGCTACGATGGGTAGCCCTTCCTTTCTCTAAGGCAGAACCACGCAGGGTTTTATTTACATATAAAAACCTATAGGTCATAGGTCATACATAGGGTCTTACTGTTTTCACTGTTCACTCTACTGCTGCTTTTTAATGTCTTACCCCTACCAAACACACTCAAATGTTTGGACTACACTGCAGGTGCCAGCTACTTTTACCAAGCTTTAAAAATCCAGTTTTACTCATTGTGCACCTGCAACCTGGAATATCCTGCAGAACAATCCACAGCTTGACTCATTTTTATGCTTTAGGGCAATTCAGCGTTTTAATTTCATCTCATTTTTAATTCCAGCTGGTCCTGTTTTAGTTGATTCATTTGTTTTCACATTTTAAATGGTCTAATTAATGTTTTAATTATCTCACTAACTTTGCCTTTTAATATTTTTATGGCTAGTTTCTTATTTGTGTGCTTTTAATTTTTGTACTTGACCCCATTGTGAATGAGGCGTCAACACCTTGGAGTTAAAGCCAATGTTAAATTAATGAATAAATGAATGAAAATTTGTCATAATAACAGTATGATGGAGACGGCCTGTATGTGTGTTTTTGTGCTTCTGCAGGTCTCAGTCTGGTGGTGGGTTTGGTTTTGTACATCTCCAGCATTAACGACGAGGTGATGAACCGACCCAGAGAGCCCGAGCAGTTCTTCCACTACCACTACGGCTGGTCCTTTGCTTTTGCCGCTTCGTCCTTCCTTCTCAAAGAGGTGATCAAGGCCCAATACACACTAACACACATGAGCACAAAGGGTTGCGGTAACTTGCAGCAATGCGGCACGTACACAAACGCCGTAGATGCCATCGACTGAACGCACACTGAGCATTTCACAGTGACACAAACATGCACTGATGCTTAACATTTAAAAGGACCTAATGTGCACAGATGCACGCAGATTGTTTGGAATCCGGTTTGGACGTCCACCAACTGCTATTTAGCTAAACACACTCCAGCATGTGCACAAACACGACGAAAGAGACGCACACACACACACTCTCTCTCTCTCTCTCGGCTTGCGGAAAAGCAGACTCCTTTAGCTAAACACACATTTAAAAAGTGCGTGCGTAGGAGCCCGTCATCCTGCCCGCATCAATATTCATAAATGTTAATAGCTGGAATACTTGAGGGCAGCAGCTCTTGTCGCAGCACAGCTTCATATGCATCAGAATATTTCTTGCTGTGAGGAGGGAGGCTGCTCTGCTACTCCTCCTTCATCCTTCGTTTCTCTCCTTCCTCATCTTCTCTCCCCCTTCTTGTCTCATCTCCTCTGCCTCATTCAAGCCTTCTCTCTCTCCGTCCTCTACTTTTATCTTCAGTTCTTTAATCCTCTGTTGTCCCTTCCCCTTTCTCTCTCCTCTTCTTCTCTTATCTCATCTCCTCTTGCCTTCCATGCATTTTTTTTTATCTCCTCTTTGTCTCTCTCTTGTCTTTTCTGTTTTGTTTTCCTTATCCCTCCTCTCACTCGTGTTTTGTAGCATTTCTTCTCGTCTCTCTTATACTCTGCAAGCTCTTTTTTTCATGTTATTTCTTCTTTATCTTTTTGTGTAAACCTGTTTGCCCTCCTCCTCTTTTATTTTTCCTCTTGTCCTGTGTCCTCCTTTCTTTCTTCACATTTCTCCTCTGCTTCCTTCATTCTCTGTAATAATTTTACCATCATTTTCATGGATTTATTTTTTTCTTTTCTGCCTATGCTTCATTTTTTTTTTTCAATTACACTCTACTTTCTTACCCTTCCATCTCTTCTCTTATCTCCCCATGAAGTTGCTTTGTCATCTATTTTTCTGTTCTCCTCCTCTTCGTTCATGCTCTGTCTGTAATCCTGTTTTTTTATGTTTCATTATCTTATCCTTCTCCTATCTCTTCTCTCTCCTCATCTGTTTTTTTTTTTTTATCTCTCTTCTTTTCATTTCAACACCCTGATATCCTCTTGTTCCTTTTTTTTGTCTTCTATTTTCTACGCCTCTCTAATAATCTGTTCTCTCATTTTCTTCATCTTCTCCCTCCCTCTCTCACTACCTTGTCCTCTCTCAGCTCCTTCCCTCTTCTCACTCACTCTTCTTCTAATCTGCGCCCGAGTTGCAAAGCACATCTAAGCGCACCATTTTCCTGTCGTACACACACAAACATGTTCATCAGCATTCGCGTTTCAGGGTTGTTGTAGTGACGATGTTGCAGATGAATACCGAATGAGCCGCGAATGCTCAGCGGATGCCCGAGTGAAAACATGAATACATTTTTTGATAATGGCTCATTCCAGCGAGGCGCACCAGGCCTTTTTGTCAACTCTCTGCAAAATTATTCAGCATTTATTTCATTCCCCCCCCTCCTCCTGATGGCAGTTTAAGGAGAAGGATGGTGCTGGTTTCCAGCGTTTCATCAATCTTTTTCCATTTCAGAATTTGCTTGTTCAGTTTGATCCCCTCTGGCAGCGCAGATGTTGTGCTTCCACGGACGGAAACAGTCTTTTCTCTCTTTGCGTAAATGTCATTTTCTTTAGCAGACATTCTCGGCATATATTTATTTTTCTCAAATCCACTTTACTTTCATGACAGTTTGTGGAAAACTGCATCATGAGAGCTGTTTAAAAAAAACAACATCCATTTAGAAACAAAATTGTAGCCAGTAGGCAGTACGTGCTGAACTATACATTTAATTTGAATAATTTTACATATCTTTAGAAGATAATTTCCCAGTGAAGGAAATTTGTCCGTTTGCCTTATTAATATGTGTTCAGTTTACTGCTAGAGGAGCCTGCCATAAAGTATAAGAGCATAAAGAACAATAAATGTTTTGCGGTACATGAATTGCCTACAGGATTTAATAAAATGCTGGAGAAATATACTGAATACACAACGTCTTATGCATAAAAGTTACATGCATCTCCACTGACTACACACAGATATGAGACACAATTATTAAATATAGTTGACTTCTTTTGCTCAAATAAATGCTGCAGTATGTGACACAATATTACAGAAAATTCCTAGTAGGCAATATTACACAACTTTCTCACAAGCTGAGTAGTACTCATAGACTGTAGAAAAGATGGACGTAGCTACCGTGACGTCACCCGCTGGTTTCTGAACTGAGAAAATGAAGCCAGGGTTTTGCTACTTCCTGGTTGACATCTTGGATTTTTGGAGCCAGTGACGCAAAAATCGTCGGGGGGGCGGGACCATCGGAGCAGTGATTGGTCAGACGGATTGAGAGGCAGGACCTCTTGGCCCGCCCACATTTACTGCCTTCTGCTCGCTTCTTCTGCATCGTTGCAGAGTGTCAATCAAGCCAGCCACGCCCCTTGCTCCGCAAAATTTTGGCGATTTTTTGAAAATTCAGTATTGATTTATTTTCAGATTGGCCAACTGATCTCTGGATTTGACTATGAAAACTAATAAGAAAAAAATCCCGAGCTGTAGGAAAGCGGTATTTCATGATCTGTGATCACTTCTTTTCCAATTCAAGTCTATGGGAGCCAGGGCTTTTTGGAGCCAGCAATGAGCGGACGTAGTGATATTGCAGGTTTTTGACACTTCCGGGTTGGCTTCATTTTTCAGGGCCAGTTGCTACGTCCATCTTTTATATAGTCTATGGTAGTACTCTGCAGTAGTGTAAAATACGTGGAGCAACATAACATAACTGAAACTCTTCTTACCTCATCGGTGTTAAGTAGAAGTGCAGTAGAAGGGGGGCACTCTGGCTTGTTTGTATTTCTTTAAACAAATCAAAGTTGTTATGGGCAGGGCTAAGCAAAAGATGCGGTTGAGGCGTTCACTCAAAATAGTGAAGGATGGAATTGATTCGGTGGAACATTTACATGCTGGGAGATGAGCACTGTGATTAAATGGATAATCCATAAAAAATTAAACTAAAATTAAAAAAAACTAGCAGAGCTGCTTGCAAAAAATATTAAAAACTTGCACATAACGGAGGGGAAGGACAAAACCACGTGAAATAAGCGCCCATTGGCAGGCTTTTACACACATCCTCGATCGGGGTCGGCCACCTTAAACACTCAAAGAGCCATTCGGACCTGTTTCCAACGGAAAAGAAAACACCAGGAGCCACAAAACCCTTTTGACATCTAAAATAAAGATAACACTGCATATATCGTTTTCACCTTTACACTATGTATAACAAAAAAAAAAAAAACTATAATGTGTTTATGAAATTAATGAACTGTTACAGAGACAACAAAATTTCATTTCTGCATGCAACAAAAACATTTTGAACTCCAAAAAAAAAAAAAAGACACTGGGTTGACGGTTATTTTGAAATAAAATAGTCAATGTCTATTTGAATCCTCTTTGTATATATGAAATAAAAAGCCCATCTTTAATTATTCACATGCAGCAAAGTAAAAATGACGTCTGGTTGTCCTGCTGACTGCAGTTGGGACTGCTGACCAGACTCCTGATCGCCTGTGGTTGGGACGGGAGGAGCTCAGGGTAGCACCGCTGCTGGCTGAGAACAGTAACTGCAGAATGATATGTGTTTTCACATCAGAGTCTCCAAAACACCAGAAAAGTCTCCAATAACACCAGAGAGAGTTGTTAGAGTTGTCGTGAGTCGCGTTCGACAAAAAAAAAGTCACCAAGAGGTTTTGGAAAGTCACCACATTTAACGTGAAAGCCTGCATGTGCTGGCGGGTGTCGCACATCGGTGGTTGTGACGCATATTTTGAGCGACAAAAAAATCAAATAATATTTTAATGTTACAAGTTCATAAAAATTTTCAAATTTAGAATTACATTTTAAAAACTAATGAAGTAATATAAAATTCATTTAAATTAAAATACTCGTTATTTATTTTCCAAAGCCACAAGGAGCCACAGCAGAGGGATGAAAGAGCCGCATGCGTCTCCGGAACCGCGGATTGCCGACCCCTGTCCTAGACTATATGAGTCCAACTACTAGTTGCAGAAAAATTAATACACTTAGTGCAGTAGATTTTTGTTTTGGGGGGGATTTTTTTAGATTAAAAAAAGGACCCTGATCAGCACCACAATTAGTTTCAGCTATGGTATCATGCTCACCAACAAAGAAAACCTATTGAAACCACAAATTTAACCTCTCCAGTGGAGGAATTTACAAAACAGAAAGAGGTGTGACATTGTGTCCTTGTCTCCATCCAGGGAGCAGGAGTGATGTCCGTCTACCTCTTCATGAAGCGTTATGCTGAGGAGGAGCTTTACCGGCCTCACCCTGCACTCTACCGTCCCCGCATGTCTGACTGCAGCGACTACAGTGGCCAGTTCCTCCACCCGGACTCCTGGCCTCCGCCACAGCGGGGTCGCAGCGCCTCCGAAGTCTCCTCGGACATCTCCATCCAGCTCAACCAGACTCCGCCCCCACAGCCACCACCCAAAGGGGGCAGCAGCTCCCAGGCGACTCCATCATCCTCCGGGCCTTCATCGGCCGCCAGCTACCAGCTCCAGCCGGCCTCCTCCTCCTCCACCTCCTCCTCCTATCCGCACCCACTTCACCCAGGCGCCACCTCCACCCTGCCCAGGGCCTCTCACTCCCACGGCCACCATCAGCCCCACCCTCACCCGAGCGGGCCCCCTCCTCAGTCCCTCCCGATGGCAGCGCCGCCCTCTGCTGTGCCTCCTCCTCGCTACCACACACATATGCGAATGAGCGCCTCGCCATGCTAGGCTACATCAGCAGGCAGCGGGAGGGAAAACACAACTGGGGATGGGGGGGTGGGGGGGTTAGATTGGCTCTGTTACAGCTCTGACACACACCACACGACAAAACACACATACAAACACAAATCCTGTTCCCTCGAAGTGTGTGGGAGGAGGGTTGCGGCAGAGTCACTGAAGGAAGGAGGTTTAAGGAGATCAAACAAAAAAAAAAACGAGTAGGGAGGAGGAAAAGGAAAGAGGGGGGGGGAGGCAGGTGGGCAGAGGGATGACTCACTGCTGATGCCGAGCCCGAGATGGAGACAGACACTTAACAAAACTTTTAACACGCTGGGAGGGAACATGGGAGGGGAGGAGGGAGGGATATGATGATTAGTAGCAACGAGACGTTTGTGGGGTTTCTGACGGGTACATTCATCATCGGGGCCGTGATACACAGGCAGCAGTGTGGAGCAGCGTGTGGAGCTGAACCGTCTCCGAGAGGCTGTCCATTCACGAAAAGAACAAAACGAGCAATGTATCTTACAAACATATCACCCCTTCATTAAACAAGGATGTAACTAAGATACCTGCTTTTTTGTGGAGGGGGGGAAAAAATACCCAATTTCCATTTATTTAAACATCTGTTTCTAATTTCATGAACATGGTTGGGAAGGTTTCTTCATTATATGTTGATTACTTTCGAAAACAATGAGAAAACTGTGAAAGTGAACTCTTTTTTTTCTGTTTGACTCCACTTGAACTGCTGAGAGTACACTTGTGCACTAAATTATCACAGAAATATTGACTTTTGGTGCACAGATGTATATTGGGTCTTAATTTACTCAGCAAAACGAGCAGGATCAGCGTTTTTTAGTTGCTAGCCAAAAAGGTTAGCACCTTTGTTTTCCAACTGGGAACTTTATTGTGACAAAACCTATTTCTAGGAGCCTTAACATGGCTGCAGATACGTAAGATATATGACAAACTCAGCTTTACAAAGGCGGACGTCGCGGAAAATTATTTTGCAATGCAAGTTTGAAGAAATAGTAAAAGGCCACAAAACCTCCTATCAGAAGTGTGCTGTATTACCTCAAGGAAACAGTGTCCCTTTGCAGGTAGTTATTTAATTTAATATATTTGTGTGTTTAATTTTTGCACAGAAAAAAGCATTAAAGTTATAAGTTAGATAAGCTAAAAATAAAATAATGCATTTTTATTTTAAAGCTGTTTGTTAACATGGAGTCTCATATAGTACATTTAAATTATACTTTAAATATTTTGAAAGTATACATTTGACTTCCCAACTTTGGTCGTGAAAAACCATATTTGAAAAAAAAAAAAAAAAACGAGGAACAATACCAATACGATACATAAAGTCTATATTATTAATTAATAATTGGTATTGCTTATAACTTTTGCCCATGTACCATGACCTACAGACACATTTACTATCTACATGCCCAGAGGTGAATCGTGTATGCATAGAGGTTTATACTCCAACTGTATAGACTTGTTTCAGTATGCTGAAACAAATGTTATGAAAACTTAATCCCGTATGTTTTAGGTGTTTTAGCTATCGAATTTTCTAAGTTGTTTGTATTTTAGGATGGAAGCTTTGGGAATGAATGTTCAACATTTTGTGCAATGAAATTGAAGACGCAACTGAGAGACTTTTTAAAGAGCCGAGCACAGTTGGAGAACCTCTGTGGGAAGTTTCTCTGACCTGACCGAGCAGGGACTGTCTCTTCACCCACGGTACAATCAAAGTGGAGGCCTTGGAGTTTTGGCATTCATGATGCGAATCTACGATTTAAATGTCTTTGGTGTGTACATAGTAATACATACAGATATGAGAAACTATACCAGTTAAAGCCAGGTTCAAATTTCATTCCATTTTAATCAATTCAATTCAGGAAAAAAAAAGAGCTCTGGCAGAAATCGACAAACCATTTGACTGTCACCATTCAGAACATGATGGTTCCAAAGTGTAAGAATAACGGTGGAAATTTCATGGGGATTTCCATCATCTCAGTTTTTCTTTTATTTCTTTTTTCTTAGTTTTTTTTGACAGTTTAGAGGTTTACTTTAAATGATTACCTTCCAGTTTCCAGAAATAAATGCTGTCCGTTTGAGTGACAGTGCTCTTCCTGAATTGACACATTTGAAATGGAATCTCACTCTGACTGGTTTTATTCTAAGAAATACAAGGTTTATATAAAGAATATCTGGAAACATAGAAATGGCACTTTGATGAACACGAGTTTAGAAGGAACGCAAACTGAAAACCTGTCATTTCTTGTGTTTTATTCTATTATTAATAAAATTAGCTTAGCAGTAAGATTAATACTGATGGTGAATCATCATGGATTCAAAGGTCGATACACTTGAGTGTCATTAGTATAACAATGAAAGAAGACTAACGCTTAAAGGTAGCATATACAAAAAAAATACAATGGTCCTAACATGGAACCTTGAGGTACTCCACAAGCGATTGAGGCAGAAGACTCTCATTTTTAATTTAAAAGGACCTGTCTGCTAAGTAGGAAAAAAATATTCATGTTTCAAATCCCCATAACTTCCACAATGAAGGTTTTCCAGTAGCTTAAAATGAGCTAAAGTATGTTTATGTTTAAGCCTGTAACATGCAGTCATGAGACATGAAGAGGATGTTAAGAGGCATCCAGACTTACTGGAATTTGTATGGAAGCATTCTTTCTCTAAATATTTTTTAATTTCAGCTAAAGATCCACATATTCACTTGTTCGTGTCCATATAACGTCGTCGAGATGGCAAATCTATCATCTCTTATCCGTGTTGAAAAGATGAGGTAAAGAGTTTATTCTTGACAGTGGAAATTGTCATTTAATCAAGGTAATATCTCTCAACTGATCAGAAAAGCATTAAAACCACCTAATTATTGGTCTGCAGCAATGTTTGAATGGGTGGCACATGTCAAAGGTCAAGAGGAACGTATAATTCACTCACCTGTCTTGTGGTTGATCAGTGCATATGTGAAAACTACTATGCTAATACACAGGTTTTTCAGTTTGCCTCCTATCTAAGTTCTCCTGTTGCACAGTGACTTGTAAGATTGCCTGTTTTTGTAGCATATTAACAATCATGCCCAGCATAGGGTATTGTTAGTAGCCATTTTTAGACCTATCGGGGAAAATGTTATGCTTACAACCTGTGGTACTGTTAAAGAAAAACATTGTAGCAAATTACCTGCGGTGTTACTAGCATATTTTATGAATATTTGCTATGTGAAAATTAAATAGGAAATCATTTAGCAGCTGATTATAAGAGCTTTTGCTGATGTTTTGAGATGTTTATTTGAATTGCCAAAGCTGAGCATCCATGCTGTGTAGTGAGCGCACACATACAACCACCACAGACACACAAACAGACACACACACACACGGATATATTTATGTAGCTGACCTCTGAGGAGCTTCTTTTTTTTTTTTTTTCATCTTGATACAAATGAATCAGAACCAACAGTGTTTTTTGAGGACATCACAGCAGAGAAGTAGAGCTCTGTTGCAGTGAAACACTTTTTGAAATGTTTGCTTCCTTTGTTCGGTGCAGACATTTCTTCATACTGTGATATGGGTGTAAATATTCACACTGTATATTCTGTATGCAGACTACCCAAGACATGTTTACATTATAAAAGGTAGAGGAAATTTTAAAGTTTACATGGTCATTTATGTTTTGAGTCGGTTATATTAAACCGACTAAATACCTGTCAAACTGTTGGTTTCGATAGAAAATGTTTTGTTTTCACCATTCCTGAAAATGTACAATTTGCAGGAGTTTTATCTGCCAGCAGTGTTTTGTTAAGTTTAAAACCAATAAAGCTTGCCTGGTTCCAGATGCCTATTGCTTATTCTTAATCATGTACACCTGTTTGCAGTTTGAGCAGTGGTTAGAAAGCAAATTAATTCCGAAACTGTGCCATCTCTCAAACACAAATACATTTGAAGGACTATATTGAAAATACTGGCCTCAAAGTACACCAACTGTTGTAGATACTAGAACTTTCTCTGTTTAGGAATTGTGGGTTTTTTCAAACTGCATGTCTGCATCATGGCCCTGTGATAGACTGGCGTCCTGTCCAGGGTGTCCCCTGCCTTCGCCCTAAGTCAGCTGGGATAGGCTCCAGCCCCCCCGCAACCCTAGTGAGGATTCAGCGGTGTATAGATAATGGATGGATGGATGTCTGCATCATGGCTCCACATGGGAAAAAATTACCAGGGAACCTGAAAAATCTAATGAGGGACACAGGAAAACCGAAGACCAACTGAAAATCTGTGGAAACACAGTTGCAGCTTTAATAAGGAGGTATAAAGTGAGCCATTACTACGAATCAGAGTTGCAGTCCTTCTATGTGATGCCATGGACACTGAACTTCTTTCACAACCTAGCTCTGAAAACAGACAGGCAAGTGCTTCAGACTTGGCACAGTGGTTCTCACTGGAAATCACTTTGTCTGGTAGCTCAGACAACGTGAAGGACAGTTCATAACATCAGCCTCTATGGACAGTGTTGAAGAAAAAAGTCCTTGCTTGCCCTTTTGTACAAAACTGAAAGATGAAACTTTGCTCAAGAAAAGAAAAGAAGCCTGTTGAATATCAGGAGCTCAGTCTTTGGTCAGATGAGACCAAGATAAATTTGTCTGGCTCAGATGCGGTCCAGCATGTTTGGAATCTTACCAGGCCTACCACAGTGAATGCACATCCTAACAGTGAAGCACAGAGGTGGAAGTATGATGATATGGGGATGCATAAGTGTAAAAATGTTGTGGAAATGACATTTAAAGCATGGGCAACATCTCACAAGAGTTTCTAAAGAAGATCAAAGTGAGCATTATGACCTCGACAAGTGCATCTGATGACTTTGATCCATTACAACACCTTTGGGGTATTTTAAAGAGAAAGGTGGAGCAACCCAGCATCTTCCAGCACAGTGCCACTAAAACAAGCCTCTAAAGAATGGTAGAAAATCTCTACAGAAATCTTCAGGCA